GAATGATCCATAAAAATTGTGAGCTCGGCCACTGGGGCAGCTCGGGGCGGACTCCGAGCGATGTCGATTTTATTGTACAGCCTTGGAGGACTCTGGGTTAGCCGTGATGGATTTGCTTCTACTTGGATGGCCGCCAGTGCTACCATATGGAATCGGATTTGTACCTGGGCGGCAAACAAGCTTCGTTAACAGCCCTCCGGCCCCAGGTCACAGCGGCGACCGGAAATTCCCGCGTCGTAGGAAGCTGCTGGAGCGGGTGTCTGCAACTTAATTGATATCGTCGAGAAATGGTTGGACAGATCGGACAACGAAACCCCGTATGTAACTTATTTTCTTCCGTACAGCCATTACCTGTTAATTCTCCACCTAAAGCAAAGACGAGCTAGTAGATGTGGATGTGGATGGGTATAGAGAATATGGTCATGGGATGGTGAGCATTGCAGAGGATGGGCAGAAAGATCGTTAGTGCAACAAAAATAAATGAGGCGATGCCGTTGATGAATACCAAACGCTATCTAATAAGTGTTTGCAGTGCGTAGTTGCGTAATTTGTTGATTAAAGATTCGCGGGACTCAATTTATATTTGAGCTGTGCAATGTTTAGCACTTGTTAATTTTTTTCGCGCAAGGCGAAGTGTTTTGAGTGTTTAGTAAACCTGAGTCACGGAAGACCCGTGCGGAGGAGAGATATTTAGTTCCGAACCCTTTGTTATTCGGGGCCAGTGTTTGGGCTACAAGCGCGGTGCGTGACTGCGGAACTGGGCTGGCCCACGCCTCTCCTAATTCCAGAGAATACACATCACTTTGAAAAGATGGAACTATTGGTAGCTTCTGTGGGACTGCGACTTACAGCTTTGTGATCCGTTTCAAACACCGTCTCTCAGTGCGTGCGGCTTGGTTGCACAGAGCTGAACCTCGGGGTCCGTCATAGAAACCTATGTAAGTATGCATTACTTGCGACCGTGACGTTCCGTCCAGTGGGAGGAAGAGACAAGCTTGTCCGGGTTACGCTAGTGTTCTTAGTCTCAGAGAGACATGTGGATAGTCTCTCGTAATAGAGAGATATTGAAGAGACAAGTGGCCCAACCCGAATTTCTCGAAACTCGTTTGTTTGAATGCCTGGGTGCGCTCCAACACCCAGTTGTAAGGTTGAGTTCTATTGCCTCCTCCGTTGTTTGTGACTTATACCGAACTGGACGGACTGTCATGCGCTAAGTTGGCCGCAAAAGCGTCCCCCCTCCACCGTGTTCAATTAACAGACGCCAGACTCATGTGACCGTGTCAGATCTTTGAGCTCACAGTTCGACAGTTTATAATTCATTGGTTCGAGCTCGATAGATCCACTATGGTACCGCGCGAGTACAAGATCCTCGTTTACTTTAGCCTAAAAAAATGATAATCAGAACATTATCTATACTTCAAGTCGAAAATCAAACACACTGTTACGCCCTGCGACGATCTTCCGCAGGACATCCAGACAGTGTGGCCTATATCCCTGACATATCTCGTCCAGAATTTTGTTGATCTCATCTTTCAGGACGGGAAAGTTGTTTAGCACAAACTCGACCTCAATGTCCTGGACCTCGGAGTATCTGACGAATATGAGCTGACACCGTTGAGATTGAGATTGAGAATCTTACCTTGAGGTGAAGTCGGAGAAAACCTCCCGTATAATGTTCCTTGTGGTGAGATTGGCTTTGATGGAGGACAGCGAGACGGCCTTGAGGTCGTCCAGACCGAGCTACGGACAGTGGATAAGAAAGACCAAAAACGACATGGTTATGGGCGCCTACCTTGTCGGCTAGTCGATACATAGATTTTGCAGAACACTGAGCAGAACCAGAATACTGAGGGGTGCTACGACGACCTTTGGGTAGCGGTGCGCCAGCATCTTTGGCGGTAGCTTTCTTCTTCCCTTTCTTGTTCACGGGCACCGCGGGTGGCGGTTCGAGGACTTCAGTTACTGGTTGCGGAGCGGAGAACGGGAGTTTGCTCGTGTACAGGTAGTACAGAAGAGCCTGCCATCTGCATTACAGTAAAGCTTCGCTTCAGCAAGAATTAGGCGGAGGGACTGAACTCACGTTTTGAATGCAGTACCATTGAGTGTAACCGCTCGACCCATCCGGCCAGAGGGACTTGCGGGGCGGGATGGGGGAAGAGGGACGTCGCTTGCTTCTCGAGTAACAAACGAAGTATCTGAGGTATCCGAGGGGATAGGTCTGCTGAGAATATGTATCCGGCATCAGAATGGGGGATAAATATTCTCGAAAGCACACACTCAACGTAACCATATTCTTCAATCGCTTCGTCGTCCGAGTCCAAGTCACTGTCGGACATGTAATCGTAGTCCTCGACGCGTTCCTTGTCGATGCGGTGGCGATCAAGATCAACAAGTTTCGCTTCGCCAAAACCTCCACCCGAGATCACTGAGCTACCCTCAGCGGAAACTTTTCCAGAATCGAAGGAAAACTCACTCAAATCAAGTTCATCAGAAAATCCCTCCAAAAGCTCAGACCTCGCAAAGATCGACTGCGGATGTGTGACGTAGCGCGAGTTCTTGCGAGTGAACGCATAGAATTTGACATCTACAGCTGGCTTTCCGCTCATGGTATCCGCCAGCAGACGTTCCAACTTCCCGTCAATCGAACGGGGAATGGAGAGTCCGGTTTGAGCGGGGATGATAACACTTATCGCAATGGTGGGTACCATCTTCAGACCTGGGGTGTAGATATAGGTTCCGATTTGGGTGTTGGATTGGCCGTAGTAGTTATTCTGATATGGAAGCGTAAAACCTGCGCAGGGAGTGGCATCTTTTGGGATGAACAGATGCTGGATGGCGATGGAGAACGATAGGCTGCCATACGCCGCCGAGCTATGAGGTGGGGGTCGAAGAACACGGAGATCCGCCACGTTGGGAGCGTTTCCCCGTCCGCGCCCACAAAGACCGTGGCCTGGTTGCTGGACTGAGTACTGGCAGAGCATGAAAAACGCCAGCCGAGACCGCAGACGATGGTAGGGCCCCCTTCGATGTTGGACTGAGCATTGTCTGGGATGATAATCTTAAACATTGACTTTATTGCCGCGCCCGTCCACAGGTCGTCTCCAATCTTCACGAGCGACATTTTCTTCGCAATTGGATGAGTGGGGAGATGAGGGGAGATAGGATGGAAGAGGCTCTATTTTTGATTCTTGCGAAGGGATGCATAGCACGCGGATAGGGTGCGGAGACGGTGAGGTATGGATAATGCCGTCCGGCACGACCGTAGGTTATCAGATTCGCAATCGAAGAACGGCAGAGTTCCCAGGACTTGATCAAGCATGGCGGTAAGAAAGAGTTGGAGCTAAGCGCCATAACTTGAAGGAGGAGAGTTTAAGTATCGTTAACGTTTATCCGCAGCCCCATTTAACAATCGCACAGCCACTTGGATTGCCAGCTTCCCAGCTTCCTCTCTTCGTGCGCCGTGCATTTATCTCTGGCGTTCGTACGTGAAACGATCTCGATGGAACGTGAAAAAATATGTTCGACCTCAATCCAAGCGCTCCGAGTCCATATGGGTCTTTCAAATCCGCAACTGTGCAATCGCGACGAAGGCGGCGATCCCAATGAAGAGGGTACACAGGCCTCTTCAAAGATGCTACGGCAGCCTCCCCAGAGTAAACGAGCAAGCACCTTAATTGGAACCCGTAAAGGCACCACGCACATCACGTTGTACTTGGTTTTTCAAATCCGCAGCTGGGGTGAAGTAACTGTCTAGTCAGCCCGACCGCCGCCCGAGCCCGCGTCCAGCGCGCGCGCCTCGATGCGTCAAGTGGTGGTGATCAAACATCGATGAGCAGCGCATACAAGACATACGCAAGAACCGCCAGACAACGACAAGCCGTCCTTCCGCCCTCAAACACCAACACGGCAATGCAGTCGCACACCATCCCAACCGCGCCGGACACAACCCTCCACGTCCTCACCTCCACCCCGCCCACACCGACCTCAACCCCGACCCTCCTCTTCGTGCACTTCTGGGGCGGCTCCCCGCGCACCTTCAGCGCGCTCGCCGCTCGCCTCTCCTCCGACTTCCCCCTCATCCTCCCCGCCCTCCGCGGGTGGGGCGCCTCCGCATCCACCGGCCCCGCTGACTCCGCCTTGTACAAAATCGCCGACAGCGCCAACGATCTCGCCGCCGTGATCGCGCACCTCCGTCGCGAGGACGCAGCGCTCTTCCAGCACGGCCTCGTTCTCCTGGGACACTCCATGGGTGCGAAAATCGCGCAGCTCCTCGCCGCGCGCGGGGACCTCGGCAGCCTACTGAAGGGCCTAGTGCTCGTAGGCCCCGCGCCGCTAGGCCGGCTCGAGCTCCCCGCTGAGATGCGCAGTCAGCAAATAACGGCGTACGCCTCGCGCGAGTCGGCAGAGGGCGCGCTGCGACACGTCTTGCTGGGGTCCGACGTCGGCGCTGACGAGGTACGGCTGCTTGTAGACGACTGTGTGAGCGGGGGCGCCCACGCGAAGGCGGCGTGGCCACAGTACGGGATGCAAGAAGACTACGAGGGGTTGTTGACGGCGCCTGCGCAAGACTCGAAGCTCACGATCCCTGTCGCCGTGGTGGTCGGCGCCCTCGATAAGGTGGAGACACCCGAGAAGGTCGAGGAGCGGGTCGTACGCGTTCTGAAGACGGCGGGGGCGGCGGTGACGCTGACGGTGCTGGACGGCGTCGGGCATCTGGTGCCGATTGAGGCGCCGGGGCGGCTGGAGGAAGTTATTCGGAACTTTTCAGCGACACTGTAGGAGACGACCGACTAGAGGTAGAATTTTTTTATAACGAAGTCCGACCTTGATTCGATTCTTGAGGTTGGGTTGACCCGACCGTGGCGAGTGGAGCCTGAAAGCCGGCCGATGGGACGGCGCGTTCATGATCTTAGGTAGGGGAAAAGCAAATAAAGCGGAAATACTGTATTTGCTCGATGGTGGATATAAAGGCGAAGAAAAAGGAAATGGTCGAAACCAGATGCGTGAACCGGGAGTCGAACCCGGAGCTAGGCCATGGGAAGACCCAATGTTACCGCTACACCATCCACGCCACATAATGGGTGAGAGATCCCCCAGTCTAGAGGCTACAGGGCAAGCAAGAACCCATGACGGAGGACTTGTATCTTGATTCTCGCCATCATGGGCAAAGCGGCTCCTCGCAAACCACTCGCCACTCCTTCTGAGAAGGCAGCGGAATCTTCTACCTCTCATGCGGCACGACAGGATAAAGCCAAAACGGCCAAAATAAAAGACGAGAAGGACACCAAAGTAAAAAAAGAGAAGGACGCTGCCGCGTCGTCTATCTTGATCACACAAAATCTGCGCGGCAACGTCCCACCTTGCGAGGTTCCTTCCAGCTTTGCCGTAGACCATGAAAGCCAGATGGTGTTCTTTAACACGTACGACGAAAATGGCAAGAACTCGGAAATCTTCAGCTGCGATCTTAGAAAGAGAAGCTGGAAGAACATAACTGTAAGTACATCCGAGAATGTGATACTCGGCAACTGACTGGACATTGCAGAAAGCGATACGTCACCTCCCGCAGCCCCTCGGCTCCCCGAGCGCCCTCAACAGCTTCCCTCTCGGTACGGAGGGGCGATGGCGTTCTACAAGGTTCAAGCGTCGGGGCAGCGCATCCTGCTCCTCTTCGGCGGGCAGGTCAATGGGCTGAAGCCGGACGACCTCGGAGAGGTGTCAAATGAGCTAATTGCCATCGACGTCGACCACCTGAAATGGTGGGTTGTCGACGTCGCAGGCGGACCCGTCGCCTCGCGCGTTGAGGCGCGTCTCATTGTCGGACGACCAGCTCTTTATATTTGGAGGCAAAACCTCTGCTGGCGAGCAGCTTGAGTCGAACGAATAGTACAGCGTCGCTAGTTTTGCGAACTACCACTGGACCTGGGATGTCCGGGATGAGCCTTACCCAGCACATGTTCCCGCCCTGGGCTTCTGTTGCGACGCTGTCGCCATTCAGGATCGGGACACCCAAAAGATCTTCCTCACCGTTGGTTGCACTGACAGCGACGAAACAGTAAGACAGTTCTTCATTGTTCGACAGCACACTAACTGCCGGTAGTTGAATTTAACTTCTAGATCCTTCGTGCTGTTCGACATTGGTTTGCGCAGCTTCACGCCGCAATTCGCAGATAGTGGAAAATTCCCCGGGACCGTAACGTGGTATGGAATCTCCAATCTCCCGGGGCGCCTCAAGTCGGATCCAGCTTCAACCTCCGTCGTCATCTGTACCTTCCACGCCGATCCGGCCCAAGGACCGGAGTTGTACGTCTACTCCCTGCAGGGAGGATGCAAATCGCTCGGTCTGCGCAAGCGCATTGCAGCGACGGAGGGGACGTTCGAGCTTTTCGCTGTCGTAGGCCCCAAGATGTACCTGTTCGGATGGACCGAAGACAAGTGGGATCTTTTAGTGGAGATTCCGCAAAGATGGGTTTCGGATTGACTTTATATGCCATTATTCAATGCAGATGTATGATTAAACACCCTGTTACAGCCGCATTTGAATACTTTCACCGTCAGCGGAAAGGAATTTAGTCAAGTCTCTTTCTTCATCCCCTGTTCAAACATCTGCCGTCACCGTCCAATGCTTGTGGCCTGATACTGCCTCCTCGGGCGAGGCCTACACCAGTTGATAGTCCGTATGCTGAGGATTAGACCGAGGTTGGAACCAGATTTTCTTCACCGTTCCTTATGCCCCATTCACCAATCCTTGAATTTGAACGTGTGAGCTGTGTAAGATTACATATTGCATGAATGCCTCACCTTCGATGTCCAAACATTGCGGGTGATCATCACTCTAGCTCCCTCACGTTTATCCTCAGGCTATTATATTCAACCAGTTCATAGGAATTGTCAAGCCATTCGAACCGTAGAATCTCAGCAATCACCGCACTAGTCTCTAACAGGTCTCTCAGTCGACGCTCCGTTCTCCTCCGTACTAACCCCCGTCGAAAATGGACTTCCGAATTGGGCGGTAAGCAAAAATGTCGATGTGCTCCAAACGCGGGAATTTGCGTCAAGACGGCCTTCATAATAAATTTGGTGTTTCCATGGATTTATTTTGTCAGGCATCCTGGGCTATGGTTTTATACCATTTGCATGATGATATGCCTTCCTGTCGCGTATTCAACTATTTCTACCAGAGAATGACTAACAAGTGTCATTGGAACCAATGGGAAGTACACAGATATTTTATATTGGACCCATACATTGTACACATTGTTCAGCTCTCAGCAGCACATATCTTTTTACCTGTGGAGTAATTTGGATGTCTCCAAGCTTTCGTATAATGCTACCTTATTTTTATTGTAATTAGGAGGGGGAAGAATTGGACATTTCCTCAAGTGGGTTCGAACTACCGATACTCCATGAATTTCTTCAACAACTGGTGGAGCAAGCGGCAAGTGTCTGAATGGACTACGAGCAGCAGAAAGAATTTGGTAGGACTTAGCCGGTTCCGGTGCGATGTTGTGTGCGACTAAGTATTTTGAACTGTGTGCAGATATAAATCATAATTTGTTGAGGGTATGGGCGGTCAGATCTACGGATAAGGCTCGGTGGGTTCCCCTGGTGCGGCGCATCGCCGAACATGAGTTACGGGCTCGCAAGCCCAACACTTGCAAACCTCCAGAACTGCTGTTGAAGCACAGAGAAGTCTGTGCTTCACTCAGGGGCCGGCCAAAAACACGGAAAGATCTGTGGGTAAGGCTCGGTGGGTTCCCCTGGTTCGGCGCCTCCCCGAACTTTAGTTACTGGCTCCGCAAGCCCCAAAAACTTGTAAGCCTCCACGAACTACTGCTGGTGTACAGCTATATTATAGCTGCATCCACTCAGGGGCCTGCCAAAAAAACGGCAAGACGGGAATAGAATAAAACACTGGACAGCTTGGGAGCCATAGCATCCTGGATGACATGAACATCGGTTTTTGCACACATCTGCGGAGAAGCAAGACACTGACAGTGGTCACAACCAAATTCCCCACATCGATATGCGTTTTGCCCTGCTGCGCCGCGAGTTGGGTTTGCTGAGCTTCAACTCGCAACGCCACGGCAGCCTAGAGATTATCAGCAACTTTAAAAGATGTCGATGGCAAGGGCACAAACCACGAAGTCGTGGTACGCGTTGTCCAGCCGGACCTTGATATCCCGCATCGCACGCTCGTTGCGGTTGAGATGCACCACACGCGAAATACGACCACAGAGAGCGATGGCTTCCATCGCGCCGCTGATCTCATCAAGGAGCCTGCATTTGAATGACAATGAAGTTTTCTAGATTCATGAAGACGGAATAGTTTACATTGTAAAGCGTTCGATACTTTGCAGCATTGGTGTGGAGATTGTACTGGGATCAGGAACGGCGTCGGCGATGACGTTGAGAATCCCCTCCGTTCGGTGCGCGATGTCGAGGGCGTCAGCCTTGGAGTGCTTTGCACGCTAAATGAGTAGCCGCCGCATATTAATGCGTTGCGCCGATAGAAAAGCAAGGGAGTGACCTGTGCGATGTCGGTAACGACAAGCACGCCGCCGACGGCGCTCTTGAGGGGCGGGAAAGCGTCCGCGGATTCCTTTAGTGCGAGGAGGGCGGTCGAGAAAAGGTCTGACACAGCAGCGGCTGAGGTGGAATAGGGAAGGGATTTGAGCTTCGCGGTCGAGGACGGGGGCTTCCTCCCTCGTGAGGGGAAGGAGAGCTGCATGTGGAAGCGGTCCTTGGGCTCGTAGCTCGCACAGTGAGAGAATTTATAGTGTTGAGGAGGCTGTACTTGCGGTGATTGAAGCGCGCGCGTACTCCGGGCGGTGCTGCTTCTAGAAAGCTTTACAGCCCTCACCACAGCACTCGCAAACGCCGTCGAGCGCCACATTCTTGGATCGCTATTTGAATTCAGTCGTCTTTCAATGCAGAACACAAGGGCAGAAAAGAAGGGGACTCGGAGGGCCTTTAATATTATTACCTACCCATATACCTATCAACCTGATGAATCGCAGAGGCCAGAGCGGGGACCTGACGGCGGACTCAGAACAACAGAAGGGGATTTCGAAGATGTCAGGAAGACATTAGATAAGGCTCCAACCATTTAGTTTTCGTTTACGGAGACGGGTAAATTAAATGGAAACGGTATCTAAACTGTTTAAAACTGTTTAAAACTATTTACAAACGGTATTTTTTCTGGGGTATCCAAACTCGTGCACGTATTGGGTGAGCAGGCTTTTATTCTGGTTCATTTTGCTTTCTGTCATTGCAGTTGACGGCATGAAAGAATTTGGTTGAAACATAGGGTACACTTGCAAGAACAGTTCACAGTAACTTGAGATCACACGGTTCAACTTCAATGGCGCCGAGGTTGATACAACTTAGGAAATGATAAGCGAATCAATGGTACTATCAAAGACGAGGATGCTGGAAAGATCGTCATTGGCACGATTTCCGGATTCAGGTTGCTGAAGGCTAAAGGTGAGAATGAAGAGCGCGAGCGGCGCATCAATCCTGCCCGAGCCATCAACCATATGAACAATTACCACATTGGGAATCCATGCGCCGGTCGAGCGCCCCAGGGCCAGTAGCAGCGGGTGAGTGGACTGGGAGACCATATATGACCCCAGAGACATTTCTGGCAGCAAGATCTCCTCATATTCGCACCAGCAAATCCACTGTGAGTGATTGGAAATGTTCAACCATTTAAACCATGTACAAACGGTTTGTAAACTGTTTGACCCCAGAGGCAAACTAAACGAAAACGAAAACGGTTAAAACCGTGTATAACGTTTATAAATGGAAACGGTTGGAGCCTTAACATTAGACATTGATTAGACATGCGGTCCGCAGCGGTATACATGCTCGGCACGGCAATAGCATGCATTGCAGATTTCCTATGCTGTGGCGATTGCGGCCATGGCGTCAACTTGCGCAGAGAGAAGCCGGCTTAAAACAGCGTGGAAGCAAAAGAAACCGATTGGGCCTAAGTCACCAGTGGCAGGATAGCCTGTACACCGCCACCAACCTGAAGTTCGATTAGATCGGATAAGACCGGCCCGGTTTGTC